CCGGGTGAGGCCCGAGCTAGGTCTGGGGCCGCCAACCGCCTCTCCCGAGAACTACAGCTCCCGGCGTGCATCGCTCCGCGGCAGCCACCTCCGTTGGCCTACAATTCCCGGCGCCCCTCTCGCCCCTCTCAAAGGCCCGCCCAGTCGTCCCGCTGCAGGACCGGGAGGTGGCCTCCAGGGGGAGCCCGCGAGCTGTCCAATTCGGGATGGAGGGCCGCGTTTCCATAACCATGGTAACTGGGGACCATAGCAGTAGTTCCAAAAAAATAATAAGGAATTATGACCACAAGGGTAATGTAACAATTGTAGTGAAAACTTGTGTGGCACCTTACACCTTGTAAAGCGCCTTTTTCATGCTTTTTTAAAAATATGTTTTTATTGATTGCAGAAAGAAGGGGAGAGGGAGAGATAGAAACATCAACGATGAGAGAGAATTATTGATCAGCTGCCTCCTGCAAACCCCACACTGGGGATCGAGCCCACAACCTGGGAATCAAACTGTGACCTCTTGGTTCATAGGCCGATGCTCAACCACTGAATCACTACAGCTGGGCCTTTCATATTTAAGAATACTAATAGCTTTTGGTGAGCACCTACTGTGTGCCATTAGTATTAGGTACCTTATATATCCTATGTGATAACAGTACCTATCATACAGAAAAATGGTGATATTTCAATGAGGTACAAGCACATAAAGTGTTTTGGATTAAAGTAATCAATAAATGATCATTGACAATCCATCATGCATAAAACATAGTGGTTCCTTACCTAGCAACTACTATGCGCTAACTGCTTCAACACCAATCCTAAGAGACTGATTCTGTTATCGTTCCCATTTTATTGAGGTAGAAATGGGAACCCGAGAGGTTAAGCCTGATGTCCATGGTTACTCAGCTAGTAAACAATAGAACTGAACCCAAGTCTGGCTGCCGCCAAAGATCTAATGCACTGTGTTACCCAGCCTCTCTGTCAAGGGATTCAGAACAGAAAGGACCCCATATGTTTCACACTCAGTGAATGGGCTCCCCAGACTTCCATCCTGGCAGGGCTCTGCCTGGTCCACATGGTCTACCCCTCCCACCTATAGAATCAAGACAACCGTGTTCATGTCCCTTTTCAAAGATTATCTACCCCACTCCACACACACACACACACACACACACACACACACACCACTTCTGAGGCCACGTTTCAAAGCCTGAAGCTTAGTGGTTCCCGTTATTGAGGAGAGAAAACAACTCCAGTCAGGACACCCAAGTTCCAGCCTCCCTCATTCCGCTGCTGTGACCCAGGACACAGTTCTCGGGTTCCCAGAGAGGCAGATTCCTAGATTTCAAAAGCCCTTCCATCCCACACATCTGGGATCCCTCCTGGTGCATTTGGGGAACCTTTGCTATGGCTTCCTGGGGGCAGGGAGTGGAGGAGGAGGGGGGCAGGCAGAATTTCTCCCACTGGTTGAAATCGGCTGTTTATCTCCCCCACTGGCTGTGATCTCCTCCAGGCAGGGACTGGGGTTCAGCATTAGCAGTAACTCCGGCTCCTGGTACAATCTGGAATGTCCCAGGTGCTAAATAAATATTTGTGAAATGGATTTTTCCCCCCCTTTCGCCTGAGAAAAGATGCTTCCTTCCACCTCAGGGCCTCCTGAGAGACAGAAAAAAGAGACATAAAAGTTTATTATATGAAAGAAAGAGCATGGCTTCTGTACATCTATTTACAGAACGGAGACTTATTTACAGCCAGATGGAGGCCTTGGTGTCGGTGGGGAGCAGATGCCTGGAGGAGAGTGAGGAGGCGTGAGGAGCCTCCCATGGCTCAAACACAGGGCACCTCAGCAGGACGGGGAGAGGCAGAGCTGGAGGGAGGAACAGGGATCCTGGTTCTTCCTGAAGGAGACGTGGTGAGCATGTAGCAGGTGGGACGGAGCCCAGAATCCACGCAGAACCCCGGGGGCGCAAGGGCGATCTTGGCGTGGAGTCCGGTACATTCTTGGGCTGGTCACAGTGTCCCTGGGGTGCTCTGGAGAAAGGTCTGTGCCCCTCTGTCCCGGATGCTGCCCGCAGCTGCAGAGGGGAAGGGTCCACGGGGGTCACAGCTCGCTGGAGCGGACGGCAGGCTCCAGTTTGTGGGACAGGGCGGTGAGAACCTTGTCAAACTTCTCATAGCGCCGGGCCTGGCTGCTGCTGGCGCCCTTACTGCCCCAGAGGAGGCGCATCTGGAACTCGGTGCTGAAAACCTCCAGGAGCTCGGGCTGGGCCTGAAACCCTGCAGGGCGGGGCACAGGGGTTAGGGGACCACCCAGCTAGGGAGGCTGGGGCTCTCGCAGGAGCCACCACATCCCTCAGGGCCCCCTCCAAGGGACACCTCCCCCAGCTCTGCCAGGGATTCAGCAAGGTTTATTGATAGACATGGCCTCACAGTTTAGTACCTAGTCTTTGCCCTACTATTTACAACATATAATTTTAAAATGACTGGAAGATAAAATATTAATGTTAATGGGGGGGAGGAGCTTGAGTGCCTTTTCTTTTCCTTTTCGTGTTTTTCTGCAAGTTCCAAAATTTTTCCTAAGAAACGTATATACGTTTTGTAAGTCAGTGCAAAAAACGTGTTTTTGTGTGTGTGTTTTTTTCTTTCTGAAGAAGATAAAGGACAGACGTGCACCGGAATGCTCACAGCATTCACCTCTGGGTAATTGTGGGTGACTTTTTTAGCTTATTTTTGCTCAGCTTTCATTTCCAATTTGTCTATAGTAAACTTGTATGACTAAATAATGCCTAAAGCAGTGAAAGATGGATCGTCTGAAGCCACTTTCTCTGCTCCTTTCATGAGAGTTCTACCTTTCGACTGGGCTAAGAGCTCCTGGAAGGCAGGACAGGTCTGTCTCAGCCCCAGGCCCCCAGGCATAGCACTTTGCAAACAACCTTGTAAAGTGGGCCTGTTAGAACACCCACTTCACAGATGAGAAAACTGAGGCTCAGAGAAGCTAAGACACACAGCTCTGATGCTCTTTGAATCATCTGTGTCTACCTGGTGCCTGCCACTAACAATTGCTTGTTGAAATGATGAGTGAGGAAGAAAAGGGATGAGAAAAATGAGTCAGGGAGACAGGGCAGGAAGGAGGGGTGGAAAATGAGAATGAACATTGGGAGGGAAGGGGAGAGCAAGGCAAATGGAGGGAGGCCCAGGCCCGAAGGACTCACCCTGCAGCTTGACCTCGGCATTGGTGTGGTACAGGCCTCCATGGTGTGCCACCGTGCGGGCAGCCTCCAGGTGGGCCAGCACCACCTCCACGCCGTGCTCCGTGCTGCCCCAGGGCTCCGGACCCTCGGCCGGGGCTGTGTCACACTCCAGCAGAGTGATGAGCGGCAGGACGTGAGGAAATGTGGTGTTGCTCAGCGGTGGGCCTTCTGCAAGGAGGGAGACAACAGGCTCTCAGAGACCCTGGGGGGTCCCACTGCCCACTGTGGCCAGAAACTGAGACACAGAAGGGGAAAGGGTGGGGCCTGCCTGAGGTCCCAGAAAACCCCCAGGGCTCCTGACTTCTGGACAGACTTTTCCTTTCAGATTCTTTCAACTAAATCTATGGCACCCTTGGCCTGGCCCCAAGGGCCACGCCTGGACGGGGCTGACAGCTGCCAGGTGCAGAGTGAGTGCAAGAATAGCTCGCACAGAGCTCAGTCAAGCTCTCATCTTCCATACCGGAAGGACTTGCCGGGCCCAGAGAGGGTTGAAACCTGTGCAAGGTCACACAGCAACATGGGGGGTACCTTTGCCCTCATTGAGGCTCTTGAGAAACGGCTTGAGCTTCTTCTCGTAGAGGATGGCACCCTCCGTGTGTCGCTGTCGCAGAGTCATCCATGTCTGCTCCAGCCGGGCAATCTGGGGAGACCAGACTGTGAGCGACCAGCCAGGAAAGCGGCCAGCAAGGGCCACAGGCCGCCCTGCCGCGTGGATGCCCAGATGCGCGGTTATTACGATCACCATTCATGTATCAGGGACGGTGCTAAGTCCTCATGAAGCCCTCCCACAACCCATTTTACAGATGAGGAAACTAAGGCTCAGAGAAGGGAATGACTTGCCCAAGGTCATTCCAGAAATAAGTGGTAGAGCTGGGAGCTGACCCACGGCCTGTAGGACCCCATTGTTACTATTTACTAGGCATAGGAGAGGAAGTGCAGTGTGGATGAGGTTTGGGCTATGAAATTAAGACAGACCTGGTTCTAATCCCAACTTTTTCAGCCTCTGACTGTGTGACCTTAGGCAAGTACTGCTCTGCCTCAATTTCTCCATCAGTAAAATGGGGACAATAAAGACATTTACCTCGAGATTGTTTTGAGGAATCCGTGCTTGTAAAATACTTAGTGTAGCACTAGCACCCAGCATACAGTAAGTGCTCACTAAATGACTGATACTCCTATATGCACCTCATACATTTTACAGGTGGGAAGACTGAGGCCCAGCGAAGGGGCAGACTTGGTGTCGGAGCAGGTCAGCACTTAGAGAACCCACTCTTCCAGGTGCCCTTTCCCCAATGCTGCTGAGTTCTTCCGGAATCACTACACAGCCATCCCGAAGGAAACCAGCCCAGGGCGACAGTCCCCCTGAACCCGCTCTGCCAGGGACCCTCCGTACCTGGGCCATATCCAGGGCGCCCATGACCGCAGCGAAGCTGAACATGTTGCCCATGGTCCCCCGAAGCTCGGCGGCCAGCTGGATGGTCTTGTGCAGAAGCGCTGCCCGCTCCTCAGCAGAGCCGGTGCAGCCCAGGATGTCCACAGCCAGCATGATGGACATGGTGTGGAACCTGTCGCAGAGGCCAGGTCAGGGGGGCGGGACCAAGGGCGGGACCAGGGGGGAGGGTTCCTGCCACTGCCAGGGGTTAGGCACCGAGTGGGTGGAGAGCAAAGCCCTAACTGGGGGGTAGTAGAGTCCACGAGGTCAGGGGGCGTGGCCAGAGTGAGATAGCTGATGGGCGGAGCAAAGATTCATGGACTATGATTGGTCAGGAGGATGCAAAGGTGAATCCCTAAAGAACTGGGTCTTTGAGAAACCAGAACTGCTTGGAGCAAAAGAATGACAAGTTGCACTTGGTCAGTGGGATAGGGGGCGTGGCCACAACCCCTGGGAGCCAGGCTGAGAGACTGTGATTGGCCAGCTGGCCAAAGCCAAAGGACGAGAGTCCCCCAGCGTGGGGGCGGGGTGTGTGTGTGTGTGTGTGGGGGGGTGTTCCTTACCTTTCCAGCAGGTCTAGACGTAGCTGCCGGCCATGGGGGAGGGTGAGCAGCTCCATGCCCCAGCGGACTCCCATTAGGGTCTGCATCTCCTTGGTAACGCCCAGTATCCTAGCAACCTGCAAGGACGCCCAGAGGGCTGATTAATTTCCTGTCTTGGCTGGCCCAAGCCATCTGGGAGTCAGAAAGCTTTATCTAGGAGGGCAGCCTGGCCGGGAGGCCGGATTTGAATTCCAGCTCTACTGCTAACCCTCTGCGGTGGAGCAAATGAACCTTCTTTTCCTCATCTGCGAAATGAGGGATAAATGGGAAAATGCCCAGAGGTGCCTGACGTGTTAAATACTCAGTTAAGGTTAAGGACCAAGGACTGCCTTATTCCAGAAGGCCAACCTGAGTCCCAAGGAGAGAAAGGGTCAGTCCAATGTCACACACAGGGCCTAGAACCCAGGGCTGCTCCCTTCACACCTTAGTGCTCTTCATAGAACATCCCTGCACTCTCTCTTCTTGCTTCCTGAGCTTGGAGACGAGTGCGACCCAGTAACCAGTGCACTCCAAACTTCAGAGGGAGAAAGTGAGGTGCAGAGATAGCTGGGGTTCTGAGATGAGCAAAGATTCGTTCATAGCAAACACTCTGGGCTCTGACAACTTATGGGCCCAGGTAATGAGTTTTGCTTATTTTGTCCACCAGGGGGTGTGGGGGCGGGGAATTGGGTCATTTACATTCCCTGGACCAGCCCCGGACTTTAGCCAGACTCAACAGTGCCCCAGGAAGTCAGACACCACTGGGTTTCAGGACTGCCCAGTTCCAGTGCCAAGCTGACATCTGGAGGAAGCAATATCTTGCTTTTTGCTTTTTTTAAGTCTCTATAAATTTATTTTTTAACATTTCTATTGGTTTTTTTTTAAGAGAGAGAGGAAGGGAGAGGAGAGAGAGAAGCATCCATGTGAGAGTGAACCATCGATCAGCTGCCTCCTTCATGCCCCCCATCGGGGACCAAACACAAAACCTGGACATGGGCTCTGACCGGGAATCAAACCTTCAAACCTGCAACTCCCTGGTGCGCAGAACGACACCCAACCAACTGAGCCCCACAGGCCAGGCCAACTTTTTTAAAAGGGGAAAATGGAGGCCCAGAGAGGCAAAGTGATCAGCCCAGGGTCACACAGCAAGTAAAGGACAGCCATGAAGCCAGAATCCAGCCCCACTGGCTATGTTTGGGGAATTTAGGGGCCAGCTCCTCACTACCCTGATCCCAGTCCTAAAGCCAGGGGCCGGGGTGCTGCCCCTGTCCCAGGGTGCACCGAGCACCTACCAGGCAGTCAACCTTGGTGACATGCTGAGCCAACGTCCGGGCGTCCACCTCTGCCAGCAGCTCCTTGACCTTGCGCAGGAGGCCCACCTCCAGGGGCCGGTTATCCTTGGGGATCAGCAGTGACTGGAAAGTGGCTGGGTTGAAGGAAGAGGTGGCTTCTATGATGGGGACTGTGAAGGCCCTGCCCCAGTCCCCGTCGGGGGCCCCATTTTCTGACAGTTCCTTTAGCCTCTCTCCGTAGCTCTTGCCCTGCCGGCTGGAGGCCTCAGCTGCTGCCCACTCACGGCTGCCACGGACAGGAGGCTGGAGCTGGCAGTAATGGCCAGAGTCCGGGTCGCTGTAGCTGCTGAGCGATGGTGAGGGGGAGGCCTTGCAGAGGGTGTGGGAGGGACTGGCATAAGGGCCCTTGTCCAACTCCCCAGGGGGCTTTGGGGCACTTCCGGGACACAGCTGGGGTTCACTGGAGCGGCGGGTGACCGGGGAGGCAGGCAGCACTGTGGCTGAGGGGGCTGCGGGGGCGGCATGAACACGGGTCACTGCAGGGAGAGAAAAGGAGAGCACTGGTTACCATGGCTCCACCCAGTGCCGTGCCCCCACCCCCTTCCCGAAGGACAGCCTCCATCTACCCTACAGGGGACATCCCTGCTTCCAACACAGTCCAGGCCCAGCGGGCGCCAGCAAAAGGAACAGCCCTCAGCGAGGCTTGGCCATCACTGGCCCCCAGGGGTCTGCACACGCCCACCCTAAGCTGTCGCAGCCTTGGGGAAGCACGGGACTATTTTTTTTTCAGCGACTCAGGGAAGCTAAGCACTTGCTGGAGTTCAGGGTGCCACGTGGAATTTTTTCTCGGTGGATTAGTAATGATGGTTTAGTGAGTTCCTGTGTGCCAGGAGCTGGCAATATGTTGGAGATACACTGGTCAACAACAGTAAAACCATCATCAAAATTACAGGTGATGCTAATTGAGCCCTTGCTGCCTGCGAGATCCTTCTTGGCACATTGGTCCATTTAACCTCCTCAGTGTCCTGTGGAGTAAGTACTTTTATGATCCTCGTTCTGCAGGTGAGAAAACTGAGGCTCAGAGAGGTGAGCTGACCTGTCCCAGGCCGCCCAGCCAGCAAGCGGGAGAGCTGGTAAAACCTGGCTCCTGGGTATTGCGTCCACCATGTTGCTTAGAAATTGTCCAATTGATCATTTCTGACAAGGGATTTTAACTTTCACACTCAGGCCTGTTGATTTGAAGGGGGATAGTTATGACAAAGTTTGTGGTCCGTGTTTAGGGACTCAAACCATTGCAATGAGCAAGCTGTGGAACTGTTTGTATGTCAACATCAATAGCTCTGCTAGAGCTCTAGCCGGTTTGGCTCAGTGGATAGAACGTCGGCCTGTGGGCTGAAGGGTCCCAGGTTCGATTCCGCCAAGGGCACATGCCTGGGTTGCGGGCTCGATCCCCAGTAGGGGGCGTGCAGGAGGCAGCTGATTGATGATTCTCTCTCATCATTGATGTTTCTATCTCTCTCTTCCTTCCTCTCTGAAATCAATAAAGAAATGTATTTTTAAAAAATAGCTCTGCTAGCAGGTTCTTAGAGTAAATTTTTACAGGGCATCGCTCTCAGAAAAGAGGTAGAAAAACACATAATCACACACAGTAACAGAACTCATCAAAAGCACGTGCACACACACACAATCATTGCCACCAGATCCCCCAACTGGCCCCTCTGCCCGCTGCTGTCCATACCGGTACTGTAGGCGGGGGAGCTGGGGCTCTCGGAGATGGGGGACATAGGCGAGTGCAGGTCTGGGATCTGGTCCATGCTGAGCGCACAGTTGCGGATGGATTCCCGGGGGTGGGGCAGTGCTGTGCTGTGGAGCAGACATCTTCGTGAACAGAGAGCCCAGTTCGGGTCCTCAGCCAACCTTAGGACCCCCACCTCTGCTTCCATCCCAGAACTACTGAACTTCAGAGGCAGAGAAGGCTCGGAGATGATCAAGCCCAACCTCCCAATGAGCAGGTACAAAAACAGCCCCGAGGAGGACGGCTTCTGCAGGCCGCAGCCTGCGCACATGCTCTCTTTTCTGGGAACCTTGCCCCCAGCTCGGACAACTGTCAGGGATGGGGCTGGTGGGAAGCATGGGAAGCCCAGGGGAGTCAGGCTGACCAAGCGGGGCCCTCCTCCCACACTCTGCTAGATGCCTGGGCACACAGGGCCTGTGGCTCTTGGCACCATTACAGTCACTGCTTCCAAACCACAGGCCAAGTGGCTGCTGCCGCAGGGTATCCAGCCATCAATTCCTTGGCGGGCAGCGCCCAGCCCAGCCCAGGGAGATGAGACCGTCCAAGTGCTAGTGGCTCAGAACAGCCGGTCTCTTTGCAAACAGCCAGGGAAGCCACAGGAATTAGGAGCACTGACTGGAGTGCAGACCTGGGTTTGAATCTGTCTCACCACTTACTAGCGAGCTGCTGCCCCTTTCTGGGCCTATTTCCTCCTCCATCAAGTGGGGGAATGGACAGGAGCCACCACCCAGGGCGACCGGAGTTGAGGATACAAGCAGGGAGAGCACTCGGCACAGGCTAGGTGCCCAGGAGGCCCCGGGGATGATTCGCTGCTGTGGCTGCTCCTGGGACCAGGCCTGGTCTCACCCAGCCCCAGAGGCAATGGCGTCTCATCAAGATTCCATTCCTTGTGTGGTGGTTTGCACAGCAAAGCCCTCCACTCTGATGCCTGCCTTGGCCTAGCTAGGTGGGGTGGGAGGGCAGGTGGGGAGGGAGAGGTAGGGGGGGAAGGAGGGCAGGAGAGGTAGATGAGGAAGGGAGGTAGGTGGGGAGGAGGGTAGGTAGAGAAGGGGGTAGGTGGGGGAGAGGTAGATAGGGAAGGGGTAGGGGGGGGGGTAGGTGGGGAGGGAGAGGCAAGAGCCAGCCCCCCCCCCAGGGGGCTGAGTGAGCCCTGTGCCGCACAACATGGCACTAAGGCTCCAGGGCAGTCATTCCCCAGGTCAGTGTGCCCGGCCTCCCCTTTCTCACCAGCGCGCTCATGACTGACACGCCCACTTGACAAACGGGGAGACTGAGGCAGAATTAGGGTCCTTGCTTACCTGGTGGGGCAGCCATCGCTGCGGGTGACCTTGTCGGTGGTGAGCCCGTCGGTCATGGTGACGCTGCGCCGCTTCATGTGGCTGCCCTTGGGGCCCGCAGGGCTGGCGGGCCCAGCCGCCTTGCCCCCGCCCTGGCCCAGGCCATAGCAGGCCTCCAGGTAGCGCAGCGGGAAGGTGCGGTTGACGGGGCAGTAGATGATGGCGCCGCTCTGCTCCGACACGGCCTTGCGGCTGCCCACGTGGTACCGCACGAGGGCGGGCACGTGGTCGAAGCTCTCCTGCTCGAACAGGTACTGGATGTGGGTGTAGCTCTCGCCCGCCTTCACCACCACCTTGTTGATCTTGAAGTGCAAGGCCTGGTTGCGCCAGCGGCAGGTGAGCACGTAGTCGCCCAGGCTGGTGAGCGAGTCCCGGATGAGAAAGTCGCCGTTGCGCTGCACCAGGGTCTCGGACACCTGCAGGGTGGATGTTCAGAGGCAGGCCATAAGACCCTGGATGAAGTCACAGGAACAGGGGGTCTGGGGAACTCAGGTCTCACACCGACGCCTCCTCAGGGCTCACGCTGGGCAGAGTGAACTCCCAATCCTCGCTCCTCCAAAAGTCCAGGCCCTGGCATATCTGGGTACCCTCCCACTGCTTTCTCTGCCTGGACCATCCTGCCCACCCTGCCCACCTGGTGAACTCCTATCCATCTCACAATGGCCCCTCCTCGAGGCTCCCCCACAGTCCCCGCTAGGCACTTCATTCTTGCACTTCTCCCACTGAGCTCTGACTGCCTCCTGTCAGCGCCTGCCCTAGACCACCAGCCCCTGCTTCCTCTGCATCCTTGGAGCCCAGCACAGGGCCTGGCAGAGTTGATTCTTGACAAAGATTTACAGTGCGATTGAGAGAGGAAACAGGGGACCATCTGCCCCAGTCTGAGCCTCAGCTCAGAACAGCGGTCGCCAACCTTTCGGAACTCAAGGACCACCAGTGGTCCGCAGACCACCAGTTGGCAACCGCTGCTCCAAAGGTTTCCTTAAACCAGCGGTCGCCAGCCTTTCGGAACTCACGGACTACCCGTGGTCTGCGGACCACCAGTTGGCGACTGCTGGCCTAGAAGCTCAACTTTGCCAAAACTGAGTAGCCTAAGGACTGATACTCGCTAACCAAACACACAGGAGGCTGATGTACAAACCCTATAACATTAAAAAACAAATAACAGCGACAACAAAGGACAATGTTCATTGAGCTCGCTGTATGTCAGACATCATGCTAAGCACTTTACCTGAATTATTTCATCTAATTCTCACAACAGCCCTGTGAAGTAGGTACTATTATTATCCTCCATTTTATAGATGAAGAAACTCAGGCTCAGAGAGGTCAAGTGGCGTGTTCAAGGTTGCACAGTCAGTAAATGGCATAGTTACACCTCATCCCAGTAGTCCCCTGTGATTGAACCCAGAGCCTCTCTGGGCTGGGGCTGGCTGAGCAGTGGGGGAAGGGTCTGGAGATGAGGCCCCAGCTCCGAGCCCACTCACCTCTCGGGGGATGCGGCCATGGTACCAGGCGTGGCTGCGGAGATCTGTACTGCTGAGTTTGAGTTCTTCCTCCAACTCCTTGTGTAGTTTCTCAGGCGATGAGTCCAGGATGTACTTCTCCTTGGAAAACTGGGCAGAGACAGCAAGAATTGGCAACCGATCCAAAGCCCTGTGTCTTCTCCCCCTCCCCATCCTACACCAGGTGAACCCTTTCATCCTGGGACCCCGGGAGCTCTTAGGCACAGGTGCCAGCCAGGTCCTCACCCAGGAGTCCCCGTCCTGGCAGAAGTAAAGAAATCACAGTGAATTCCACCAAACCGTGCCTACTGTGTTGCATGCCCTGTACTATGTGCCACGGGTGAGTAAGTGAGGCAATAAACAACCCAGGCTATGTCCTCAAGGAAGCCCCAACTAAGAGGAGAGAAAAAACCACGGGAACATTTGAGTAGACTGCGGTCAGCACCACAGTACTGGACAGCGGCAAAGAGCACGCAGGCTTTCAGAAGGAAGATGAAGTCTGGGCGAGGTGGAGAGGTCTAGGAAGCCTTCCTGGGCGAGATGGCAATAACAGAACTCTCATTATGCACCAAGGACAACCAACTGGTCTTGAAGTCGGGGGAGGGATGAGTGCTACAGGTAGATCTGGGAGGTAAGGCAGCAGGTACCCTGGCAAAGGCATGGACCGAAACAGGGCTGGATGGACAAAGAAACATTCTGGGATGGTGAATTATACAGTAGAATGGCAAGAGAGGCAGCTGTAAACAGGGGAGCCGGGGCCTCCACATACACAAATCTGTGTTGTCCTTTAGGATCCCCAAGGCCCTTTCCTCCTCGCCATCTCAAGCAATTCTTGCCCGATGGGGAAACGGCACCCCGGCAGGGAAGCCCAAGGTCACTCACTGGAGATAATGCCCAGGACTCCCCCCTTCCACCTGCCCGAAGGGGGGGAGTTCTGGTTTCCTGGTCACTGTGCCTGGGGTTGGAGACCTAAGGGAAATGGGAGGGAGCCCTTGCTGTCAGGTGCACCCCCACCACAGAGCCCAGCCCAATCCTCGCTGTGCCATGTGAGTTCTCTGGGCCTCGTTTGATGGGTATGATGATAAAAGCTGCCTCACCAAGTTGCTAAGATGAAAGGAGACAATACTCCAGAGCAGCGGTCGCCAACCTTTCGGACCTCACTGACCACCAGTGGTCCGCGGACCGCCGGCTGGTGACCGCTGCTCCGGAGTACTGTGGCGAGACCACAGATGTCCTCCTCACTGAGAGGACATGTGACATTGCTTCCTCTTCTTTCCCCCAACTCCAGGCTCCAACAATGACTGCTCCAGGACTGACAGATCTAGCCCAGAACTGGCCAGATGCAGGTCCGGTGAGGGTGGCACTAAAGGGCCTGGCTTTGGCCCAGGTGGAGTCTCCCCCAGGAGCACCTACTCCTTACACCACACCACACCCTGAGGAGGGAAGCGGACACAGGCCTTCTGGGGTCCTTCTCCTTGACAAAGAGCATCCAACTGAGAACTTGCCCCAGTACCACATCTAGAGCAAGAGGAACATGGGACAAAGAAGGGGAGGGGCTGTGTGCGAAAGACCCTGGCCCCAGACTCTGCCTGCCACTGTGTGACCTTGAGTCAATTACTTTCCCTCTCTGGGCCTGGGTAGCCTCATCCGTCAATGGGGGTGGAAGACTGGGCTCCACTTTTCCAGCCATAATCAATAGTCTGGGAGAACCTGGGGGGACCTCCCGCACACCCGAAGGTGGATAACCCTAAGGTCCCTGTGCCCTCCACCTCACCCTCCACCCGGGGGTCCCCAGCTCCCGGGAGGGGGAGGGCTGGGGCGCGAATGCAGCATCCCCGATGCTCAGCGCCCTGCTATTGGCTGGAGATGATCTCACCGCCTCCCGGCCTGCGCGTGCCTGATTGGCCGGCGCCGGGATGCTGCGCTCAGCCGCGGCCGTCGTTCAGGCGGGCTGGGAGCGTGTGTGAGCCCGGGGAGCGCAGAGGTGATGCGCCCGGCGTCCCCCAGGGACCCGGGAGGCAAAAGCGCGGAGACCCCGGGTCAGAGCCTCTTCCCACCAGCCGGCGCCCACCAGGCCCTTCTAGTTCCCCAAGTCTCCTAACCCCGAGCAAAGCCATCCCAGAGGATGCTCCGCAGAGAGGCGGGGTCCGGGTCCTCCCCTCCACCCCCTTCCGTTTAACCCTTTCGCCGCCACCACGTCCTCCCGCACTGCCCGGCCAGCTGAGCCGAGAGCCCCGCGCCCGGAGCGCGCCCAGCCCACGCAGAGTGCAGGAGGGCGGCGGGCGCCCTGGCCCCAGCTCCGGGCACCGCTGCACCCTCTCAGCCTCCCGCCCTCACAGCGCTCCTGACCCCAGCCCAGCGCCCGGTACAATGGGGAGCCAGGATGCCGGGTTAGCCTCAGGGACCCGAGTGCGCGCGGAGGACCAGCAGGACACCGGGACCCCAACTCCTGACACCCCGTGCCCTAGCCAGCTCCCTCCTGCGGAGAAGGCAGGGCCGGGACGGCAGCCCCCACAGTCCCGAGTCCCGGGGGTGGCAGCTGGACGCTCACCCCTAGGAGCTCCCAGAGGTGACGTTGGGGTGCCCCCTCTCCCTCCCACAG